TATGTGTATGTAAACAAAAGTGACCTCTTTTATCACACACTATATTAGAACTGACTGGCCTACATTAAAAAGGGTTTTAAAAAATTCACATTTTTTTTCATTTTTAAAAATTACAAAAGAGAAAAAGAGTTTTTAAAACCGTCTAAGGTATGTTAAATAGATGAATAAAAATATTAATATAAAACTTACAGCTACTTGTTACAAATCCAAATCAGATTCAGAAGATGAACTTTCAGAACCAAGATTTATAATAACTGGCTCGATCATTTTATCAGTAATATTGTCCAGCTTCCACATTTTTTCCTCTTCTTTAATAGTGTGATTTACTGCCTTTTCCCAGTTTTCAGGTTTTACAATATTTACGGCCTCCAAAAACAACTGTTTAACATCATGAATTTTAAAAGTGGTATTTTTTCTTGAAACTTCACTCTTTATCTGTGCCCACACCAGTTCAATCGGGTTTAATTCACAATGATATGGTGGGGATCTAAGTACTGTCATTCCACGATTTTTGGCAATTTCATCAATTTCGTATTTTTTAAATTTTTCTTTATGAAGGGCACACAACGAATAAAGTTCCTTTCTTATAGATCCGGGATGGTACGTAATATTTTTTGAACTCAGCCAATTCTGCAAGTCTTTTTTTAACCACTTGGTTGTGGGCAGTCCTTCTATAAGTCTGGAGTGATAACTTGCATTATCCATTACTATTACACAGTTCTTAGGAAGAAGATCTATCATTTGTTCGAACCATTCTTGAAAGACATTAGCGTTCATGTCTTCATGGTAGTCACCGGTACGAGTTGATTCAAAAGTTAATAAACCACCTTCAACAAAACCGTCTGAACTGCCAATGTGTACTATTATCAGCCTGCGTCCCTTTCCTGATGGTGGGTTTAAACCAGTAGACAAGTCAAAGGCACAAAAGCGTGCCTTTGACTTGTAACAGTTTCATCCTGCCAAAATTTATTTGGTGTATGACCCTCGTTGATCCATGTTTCATCAAGATAAAATATTTTTCTTTTTTGGTTTCTCATTTCTTTTATGGTTCTTAGAAAATGTCTTCTCCATATGACAATATCGCTTCTTTCTAATAAAATAGACTTTCTGGGATTCTTTTTCCAGCGGAAGCCTATTTCTTTTAAAAGTTTCCATAACGTACTTCGACTCATTTCTGGGTAATCCTTATCATCTCGAAGTGAGACAAGAACTTTATCCAATGTTGGAAATTCTTGTCTAAAGAAGAATTCATGCACTTTCCGTCGAAGTCCTTCTTTAAAATGATATTCTATTTGAAATTTTGGTTTCCCTGGAGCATTACGTGGCATTTGAAAACTACCACATTTCTCTTCTTTAATAACTCTGTAAATCGTAGATTTCCCAACACCAAGTGTACTGCTAACTAACTCAACGGTCTTATCAACACTTTCACATAAACGTTTGTCTGTAAATGATTTAAAACAATTAAATATTAATGTTTTTTCATTAACTGTTAAAGGACCAATTTTTCGGCGTTTACACGGCACTTCCAAATTTTCCATAACACTAGTATACACAATAAACTGCACCTTGCAACTGAAGTACCTACTTTTAGTGAACTGTTAAGAATTTTGAATACGCCTCTTGGACCTTCCTACAAAATGGAAAAACCCAGTATCACATTTTCTGTGGAATAACTTTAGAAGGTAATCATCTAGTCAATTACTGTCGTAGATTCCTGGAATTAAAGAATTAAATGTTTGATTGTTGAAACCCTTACTTCGTGGAATGCACTCATTTCAGATAAAATAAAACGTTTTATTTTATCTAAAGAATTAAACTTTATTTTGCAAATAGGTAGGTACTTATTAAACTTTTATTGGTTATATATAACCAATAAAATAAACATCTTACATTTCTTGCAAATTCATTAGTACCTGTTAACCTCCATCACTCCGACACTGGCAACCTTATTTAGGGATTAGTAACCCCCACAACTATTGTATTCTATTCTGCTCCAACCTTTATACCTGGTGGTCATACTAAATTTAAAATTGTTTTCCTTTATACTTCTGTAAACTTGTTGACAAATATCTGTTTTTCATTGAGTCACCCGTATCAACAGTTTAGGGATTTGCATACATAATTTATTGTTTTATTACTCTCTCATACATAAAAATACACTATAAAGAATCGAATGATGATTATCTACCTGCTATTAACTGTAATCATGTCGGCGGATCCTTACAACAAGTTGAATTCACAGTGGATCGTGTCAGACAACACTTAATTGAACTACGCACAGCTGCTTCACCTGGTTTAGATGGTTAAACACCAAAACTGTTAAAAAGATGCGCAGACACGCTTGCAATATCCTTAACGTTAATTATGCAAACTTCTTTCATCCAGAACTCCTTACCCCCTAGGTGGACATTAGCATCCGTCAGCCCTATTTTTAAAAATGGCAACAAACTCGACCCCAACAATTATCGTCCGATTAGCTTGCTGCCAGTAGTTAGCAAAGTTATGGAAGCCATTATTTCCTAGAAGATGACCAAATTCCTTCTCCAGGAACATGTTATTCCAACACAACAAAATGGTAAAGAAATAATAAATAAGACTTACTCACAATCAATTTAATTTAACTATCAGACGACCGGTTTCGCTTTCTACAATATGCAAAGCATCTTCAGGTCTCGATACAAAGTTAAACAAATGCTGAAATGATAAAAACCCATATTAGGGTGTTGTCTAATAAAGATAAACAAATTAGATGTTATAAATTACAATAATTATGCCAATATTACATGTCTGTGGTTTTATTTAAATTATTGAGTTGAATAAAAGGTATAAAAATTTTTTTAAAAAAGGTTAAACAGACAAGGTAAGGCCCACAAATTGTTATAAAATCTCTTCTATTGTAATAAATTAATAAATGAGCAAATAAATAAATAAAATAAACATTACTTACATGCCGGTACTCTATTAATAGATGGATGGTAGAACATGTTTGAAACTACTTTATATTATTGAATGGAGAACTCAATACTATTATTGCAGTTGTTTGACAGTAAACGGGAAGTTCTTGAGGAGATAGATTTGATCCAATGAATTTGAGATATGTGTGAGATTGTTTGTTAAATGTAAATGATGTAATATACTATTGTGTTATTATATATATATATATATATATATATATATATATATATAAATATATATATAAATATATATATATATATATATATATATATATATATATATATATATATATATTACATCATTTACATTTAACAAACAATTTCACACATATCTCAAATTCATTGGATCAAATCTATCTCCTCAAGAACTTCCCGTTTACTGTCAAACAACTGCAATAACAGTATTGAGTTCTACATTCAATAATATAAAGTAGTTTCAAACATGTTCTACCATCCATCTATTAATAGAGTACCGGCATGTAAGTAATGTTTATTTTATTTATTTATTTGGTCATTTATTAATTTATTACAATAGAAGAGATTTTATAACAATTTGTGGGCCTTACCTTGTCTGTTTAACCTTTTTAAAAAAAAATTTTATACCTTTTATTCAACTCAATCATTTAAATAAAACCACAGACATGTAATATTGGCATAATTATTGTAATTTATAACATCTAATTTGTTTATCTTTATTAGACAACACCCTAATATGGGTTTTTATCATTTCAGCATTTGTTTAACTTTGTATCGAGACCTGAAGATGCTTTGCATATTCTAGAAAGCGAAACCGGTCGTCTGATAGTTAAATTAAATTGATTGTGAGTAAGTCTTATTTATTACTTCTTTACCTATTTGAAATGGACTCACACAAGCAACACATTCATGATTACAACAACATGGATTTGTCTCTAGTCACCCTACTTTAACCAATCTTCTACATTGTGTTAACGACTGAACGTCATCCCTCAACAGTTCGCAGCCGGTCGACGTTGTTTATTTAGATTTCTCTAAAGCCTTTGACCGTGCACCTAAGCGCAGACTTCTACATAAGCTAGAACATTTCGGAGTTCGCGGTACTTTACTTCTTTGGACAGATGATTTTCTGACAAATCGACATTACAGAGTGAGAGTTGGCGAATCTTTCTCACAGGGCAGGTTAGTGGAAAGTGGAGTGCCTCAGGGCTCTGTCCTTGCACCTTTTGACGGTTTATACCAGCGATTTTCCTTATTATATCTCAAGTCACATATTTTTGTGTCATCGCTCTACGCTGATGACACAAAAATATATGCAAATCCAATCACAAACTAGCTAACTCTCCAAATAGACTTGGACTCTATTTTAACTTGGTGTTCCAGTGGTTGCTACCCTTAAATGCGGAGAAATGTGTAGTGCTTCGAATTGGTAAAAGTATCCCACTTGTGATGTACTTTGTTAACAGGCAGGCATTAGATTCTGTATTCCCATATAACGACCTTGGTGTTGCAAACAGCAGCCTAACTTGGTCCGACCATATTTACCTCTATTTGTAAACGTGCGAATTCCAGACTGTATCTTATTCGGAAGTGTTTCTCGAGAGGTTCAATGCAATAATTCTGTAAACTTTACACTCTTTACGCAAGACTCATACTTCCCCGTTTGTGTCCAAAGTGTTCTATCTTGTGCTTGCTGTATCCAGTTTTTTGTCGTCTTTCGTAAGTCGTCTTGCCATCGTGTTGGTGGTCTTCCTCTGCTACGTTTATCGGCTCTTGGTCTCCATTCAACTAGTTTGCGAGTTCATCTTCTTTCCTTCATTCTGGCAACGTGTCCAGCCCATTTCCATTTTGAGTTAATTTCTCTAACAGCTGCACATAAATAGAAAGTTTGAACCTATTTGGACTGTATGTACTGTTGAACAAAATGGAATAACTTAATTTTTTATTGCACTAACAAGCAATAAACAAGCAGCATTTCTAATACTGGTGTACATAAATTAAATATGGTAATAAATCGTGATAAGTCAGGTTTCTATTTTTTAAAAGTTAAAAGAAAATATGTTTTAGGACCGGAACCAAGCGCACGGGATTTTCATACGACTGTCGTAATCAATGATAGAATGTATTTGTTTGGAGGAAGAGGTACCTTAGTTGATCATTTTGTTGGGGGTAGACAAATGATGTATTGTAATGAATTGTGGTATTTAGATCTGAATACTTTTACATGGCACCATTGTGAAGTCACGGGAACTGTACCAGTTGGGAGAAGAAGCCATTCTGCATGTAAGTATATTTTTTATCAAATATATATATATATATATATATATATATATATATATATATATATATATATATATATATACAGTATTGGAAGATTCAAAACGGAACATACGAATTATTAATACAATTATTAAGATCCCCTGACCTGCAATTACCCAGTGTAAATTTCAATATAACGTCGCGATGTCTTATAATTAATTCATTTGTTCGACTGAACTCCTTCTCCAGTCGATATTTTTCGACTGCTGCGCACGTGCGCACCTTACTAAACACAAACGATCATAGAATAATAAAATCTTGCATCTCGCCAAGCCGCTGCTAGTATAAAACGGAATACAGTAGGGGCTATATCTCAAAGCGCCAAAGATCTACAATATTACGTAGATATGGAATTAAAATATTATTTTATTAAAAGAAATTGTTATATTTTATTGCCATAATGGCATAAAAAAAAAGTAGATTTCTAAAAATTAAAATAAAGTAGATTTCTAAAAATTAAAATAAAAAAGAATTCCAAAAGTAACATAATAATATTAAAAACAAAATTTCAACGTAATAGAGGTTCAAATATTCCACCTCTCTCTGCGGAGCAATAACCAAATCTGTTGTACAAAGATAGTCTCATATCCCTGAGCAGTTCCGGTCTAATGCTTCCACAAAGATGAATTATTTTGTCCCTCAATTCCGCTAAATTTCGGGCTCTTTTAAAACCATGTCGATAAATACTTGTTTTTAAATATCCCCAAAGAAAAAAATCATTTGGGGATAAGTCTGGTGATCTGGGAGGCCACTTGATCGTACCACGAGAAGAAATTAATTTATTTCCAAAAATGGTTTCTAAATAATTTTGAACTGCTCGTGTATTGTGAGCAGGACAGCCGTCTTGCTGAAACCAAATATCGTCAAAGTTGACAGGAAGTAATTGAACTGCTGGAATAATTTGATTTTGCAACAATTCTAAATATTTATTTGCCGTTAAATTACCATCAATAAAAAATGGACCGACGATATAATCCCCCAAAATACCTGTCCAAACATTAAGTTTTTGGGGATACTGTGTTCGTACTGGAATACTCAAGTGTTTATTATGCCGAGACCAATATCGTACGATAGAAGGATTATGTTTCCGATGTAACGAAAATGTCGATTCATCGGTAAACAAAATGTTTTTTAAAAAATGTTCACTTTCATTTTGTTTATTCATCATCAGTTCACAAAATTCCATACGCTTGAAATTGTCCTCGGCTAATAACTCTTGAGTTGTTGAAACCTTAAAACAACGATAACCATTCCGTTTCAAAATATTCCTGATAGTCCTATCATTCATGTCAACTTCTTCAGCAATAGTTTTGCTTGAACAAGGATCACTAGTTTCAGCAAGACTACAGACATCAATTTCCCTATTTTGCCTAACTTCGTTGATTATTTTCTCTCGTGGTAGATCCGTACATGTTTGACAGTTTTGTACACAACCAAACGATTCAATTTTTTTAATAATACGACTAATAGTTGATTGTTTCGGTATCGGCCTATCTTCATAGGCACAAGTAAATAAATTTATAATATCACGGTACGAGTTGCCCCCAAAATACCATTTTAAAATTTGTACTTTTTCTTTGTTTGTATATATGGTTTATGGTTAGAAACACTACTTTTATTTCAGCTTATGGCGTTATAATGAGAAGCAAAGCAAAGGGCATGTATTTGTTTTGCTCGGCCAGTGATGTTCCTTGGGACTGTTGCCAAATCGATAGATACCTTCTGCAAAAATCTGTAGATTTTGATGTATCATATACATCCTTTTAAATTTTAAATTATCAACAATATTTGGAATAATAAATATATTAAACTATACACTAACCAATTCAAATAATATCTAATGAACACAAAAAAATTGTTATTAATAAAACATTGTTATTATCTGCACAAAAACACAGAAAATCAGTGGACGATAGACAACAGTGTCGACGTACACCTGTCGAATACGCTTCTAGAAATCGCGAAGGAGTAGCAATCCAGTCGAACAAATGAATTAATTATAAGACATCGCGACGTTATATTGAAATTTACACTGGGTAATTGCAGGTCAGGGGATCTTAAATATATATATATATATATATATATATATATATATATATATATATATATATATATATATATAATTCTTTGGAGGGTAACTTTCGGGAAAGCGTCAAAACAAGGATCAGCTAGAGATGGTATAAGCCAGCTTGGTGTAGAACTTTATTCTATATGTGAAATTTTCGGTGATATGTTGTCACCTTCATCAGCACCTAAATGGAAAACCTATTATAGTACAGTGGTGGAAATCAACATTTAAAAACCTACATTGAAAATGTTCAGTTGGTCCTAGTTGTAAAAAACACTGTCACAAACATGTTAAAAATATTAAAAAATACATTTAAAATTTTGAATAAAAACATTACAAACAACAGGGTAGTTTTTCAAATACAAACACAACAAAAAATCTAAAATTTACAACCTACAAAAACTACAAATAGAAAAGAAGAATTAATCTTCTTTTTTGATGACATATTTCTGTCAACATCCGGGTGTCATATGTAACGAGGTTATAATTTTCACTTTTGCACATCACAACCACATGGATACGAAAAGAAAGAGCCCTAGGCAACATAATAAGCAAGGAAATAAAGTCCCCTCTAAAGCACAGGTAGGTAATCTATGCATGTCATGATAAGTTCCCCACATTTTCCAGTTTGTTACTTCTTGTCAAGTCCTGTTGAAGTAGAAAGGAATAAATACAACTTAAGTTTTCAACATCTTTCTTACAGTTCATAGGAGAGCTGCAGTTATGGATGTAGCACATTTCTATGAAGTTTCTCTTAAATTGGTTGTCAACCCTCTTTAGTACTTGCACATTTTCATAGTTAGCAGTGTGTCCAGTATTCTTAATATGTTGGCTAAAGGCTGTGCTGGTGGGCTTCCTCACAACATCACTCCTGTGCAAAGCTATTCTTTTTGAGAGTTTCTGGCTGGTTTGACCGACATACACTTCTGAACAAGAACCACATGGAATAGAATACACTACATTGAAGTTATCCAGTTTTTTAACTCTTTCTGTCAGGTGAGTAAAGTATGTCCCTAATCTTTTGTAAACAGAATTTGCTATCACTATGTTGAACTGTCTGAAAAGGTTTGTGATCTGTGGTGATAAACCTTTGATGTAAGGCAATCTCCCATAGAACACTTCTACTGTTTCTCCTTCTAATGTTTGTCTTTGCTGTGTTCTAACTGTTGGCATATCTTGAAACAGCAATTTATTAAGAAGCATCTTAGGGTAGTGATTTTTTCTAAGAATCTCATACAATAACTTGATGTTCTTATTGTAGTTTGAAGGGTGACAAATTCTTTTTATTCTGTTTTTCAGACCTTTGATGATGTTAATCTTCTGTTCGTCTGGATGATACGAGTGAAAAGGCACATATCTACCTGAGAATGTTTTTTTTCTGTACCAATCTAACCTTACTGTATTGTCCTCATGTCTGGTTACATAGGTGTCTAAGAATGGAACACTATTATTTTCTTCTGTTTCAACTGTGAATTGTAGGTGAGTGTTATATGAGTTGAAAATGTCAAGAGTGTAGTTGATTTTGTCTGCAGGGACTGCACATATGAGGTCGTCTACATATTGGTAAATGAAGGGGAACTGGAAATCAACTTCTTGAGTACAGTAGTGAAGTAGGGAGTTCATTACAATTTCTGCCAAAGTAGGGGATATAGCTCCACCCATGGGTGCTCCTTTTATTTGGACATAGAATTCATTTTGAAAAGTGAAATATGTATTGTTGTATAAAAAGGTAATCAGTTTCAGGAACAAAACTTTGGGAATTGTACAGTTCTGTTCAATAAGATGGTAATTAGTTGTCAGAATAGAAACTACCAGTTCAAGAGGGATGTTGGTAAACAAGGAAGTAACATCAAAACTCACCAAGACATATCCTGAAGGTAGTAAAAACCCATTGATCTTATTTGCAAATTCAAAAGAATCTTTAATTTTGTAGGTATTATGAGAAGAAAAAGAAGTGTCAATAATACCTGCCAGATATTTAGCCAAGGATTGAGTGGGGGCATTCTTGCAAGCAATTATAGGACGTAGAGGGCACCCTTCTTTGTGAATTTTTGGAAGTCCATAGTATGTTGGGGTGGTACCGGTGTAGTTGGTTAATTCTTTTTTTGTTTTGGTGGTAATATGTCCTTCTTCATGTAGTTGTTTTATTAGTAAGTTAGTGTTTCTTTCTACTGATGGAGTCAGATCTTTGGGGATTTTTTTATAGGAATGTGGGTCATTGAGAAGTTCAAATGATTTGGTGATGTACTTTTACTACTGATTACCTTTTTATACAACAATACATATTTCACTTTTCAAAATGAATTCTATGTCCAAATAAAAGGAGCACCCATGGGTGGAGCTATATCCCCTACTTTGGCAGAAATTGTAATGAACTCCCTACTTCACTACTGTACTCAAGAAGTTGATTTCCAGTTCCCCTTCATTTACCAATATGTAGACGACCTCATATGTGCAGTCCCTGCAGACAAAATCAACTACACTCTTGACATTTTCAACTCATATAACACTCACCTACAATTCACAGTTGAAACAGAAGAAAATAATAGTGTTCCATTCTTAGACACCTATGTAACCAGACATGAGGACAATACAGTAAGGTTAGATTGGTACAGAAAAAAAACATTCTCAGGTAGATATGTGCCTTTTCACTCGTATCATCCAGACGAACAGAAGATTAACATCATCAAAGGTCTGAAAAACAGAATAAAAAGAATTTGTCACCCTTCAAACTACAATAAGAACATCAAGTTATTGTATGAGATTCTTAGAAAAAATCACTACCCTAAGATGCTTCTTAATAAATTGCTGTTTCAAGATATGCCAACAGTTAGAACACAGCAAAGACAAACATTAGAAGGAGAAACAGTAGAAGTGTTCTATGGGAGATTGCCTTACATCAAAGGTTTATCACCACAGATCACAAACCTTTTCAGACAGTTCAACATAGTGATAGCAAATTCTGTTTACAAAAGATTAGGGACATACTTTACTCACCTGACAGAAAGAGTTAAAAAACTGGATAACTTCAATGTAGTGTATTCTATTCCATGTGGTTCTTGTTCAGAAGTGTATGTCGGTCAAACCAGCCAGAAACTCTCAAAAAGAATAGCTTTGCACAGGAGTGATGTTGTGAGGAAGCCCACCAGCACAGCCTTTAGCCAACATATTAAGAATACTGGACACACTGCTAACTATGAAAATGTGCAAGTACTAAAGAGGGTTGACAACCAATTTAAGAGAAACTTCATAGAAATGTGCTACATCCATAACTGCAGCTCTCCTATGAACTGTAAGAAAGATGTTGAAAACTTAAGTTGTATTTATTCCTTTCTACTTCAACAGGACTTGACAAGAAGTAACAAACTGGAAAATGTGGGGAACTTATCATGACATGCATAGATTACCTACCTGTGCTTTAGAGGGGACTTTATTTCCTTGCTTATTATGTTGCCTAGGGCTCTTTCTTTTCGTATCCATGTGGTTGTGATGTGCAAAAGTGAAAATTATAACCTCGTTACATATGACACCCGGATGTTGACAGAAATATGTCATCAAAAAAGAAGATTAATTCTTCTTTTCTATTTGTAGTTTTTGTAGGTTGTAAATTTTAGATTTTTTGTTGTGTTTGTATTTGAAAAACTACCCTGTTGTTTGTAATGTTTTTATTCAAAATTTTAAATGTATTTTTTAATATTTTTAACATGTTTGTGACAGTGTTTTTTACAACTAGGACCAACTGAACATTTTCAATGTAGGTTTTTAAATGTTGATTTCCACCACTGTACTATAATAGGTTTTCCATTTAGGTGCTGATGAAGGTGACAACATATCACCGAAAATTTCACATATAGAATAAAGTTCTACACCAAGCTGGCTTATACCATCTCTAGCTGATCCTTGTTTTGACGCTTTCCCGAAAGTTACCCTCCAAAGAATTGTATTCTTAGCGTCGTTACACACACTCTATATATATATATATATATATATATATATATATATATATATATATATATATATATATATATATATGTTCGGAAAGATTTCCGCGGTTAGTACAATAAAACCTAGAGCTAAGATTAATATTATTGCTATAATTAATATCAAACTCACCAGTCTTCCGGGTTGAACCGCGTCGATGTCCATTTTGCCAAGCTTTCGGCATCCTCTCTGATGCCTTCCTTAGGGCTTCTTAGATCTCAGTCTCCCGAGCCCCGAACTGTCACTACTGTACACAGTAGTGTACATACACAGTGACTCATTGACTCTATTGACCTAGAGTTGAAATTGAATCGGAATTGCGAACAGAAATGGAATGTTCATAAATCCTATTTTGAATTATAAGATTTCTTTGGCATATATAGCCTGCACGAGCAATTTAAGCAACAGTGTGTGGTTAATTTGTAAATCATAATCGTTTATTAATTTTTAGTTGTTTATGATGAAAAAATGTACATTTTTGGAGGATATAACTCAGACAGAGATCGACACTATAATAATATATTCGAATTCGATCCAAAGACTAACGTATGGAAGAAGTTGAGTGTATCCGGCAAAAAACCCTGTAGACGAAGAAGACAGGCCTGTGTGTTGGTCGGAGATAGAGTCTATATGTTTGGTGGGACAAGGTAATCTTTTCTACTGTTTTATATATTCAATATTTAATAAATATGATGAGTCTTGTTAATTAATTATTAAACGTATTATAATCTTCTTTTTTAAATTTTTAGTCCACATGCATCAGTTTCGTCAAGTAGTAGGAATTTAGATGATAAATTAAGAGATCATAGTGATATGCATGTGCTGGATTTCAAACCAACATTAAAAACGCTATGCATTATGGCGGTTAGGAAATACAAGATAGAAGACTCAAACCTTCCACAAAATTTAAGGTAAGAATGCATATCATTATGATATAGTAATTTTCCTTGATCATGAGTTTATTGTATGATTTTTCTATTTATCATGAACATATTACCGATACCCTTTTTAAATGTTGCTTTTGTAGTAGTAATTCATAAGTATTTTTAAGTTTTTATAGGAGTAATTCATATTCAGAAATGTTTTTATTGCTTTAAAATACAGTAATTGCTTAAAATAATAGCTTTCCTAATAAAACAAACATTTACTCCCTCATGACTATTAATCGTTTGGGGGTCACAATTTTGGTATCTTCACATATACCACAAAAGTTGTAGCTTAAAGGTCGATTTATACATATCCGTGCCGTGTTATGACAGTGTCCGGCAAAAAAATAAACAATACCAGAGAACTACGAGCACAGAGAAGCAACAGTCCTTTGAAATTTCATGGCCAAGTCGCGAATGGCATTCTCACAACCAAGAGAACTGAGAAAACAGTCAACTAAAGTCTCTACATGATCATCATCATCAATCAGCCCTGAGTTGTCCATTGTTGAACATAGGCCTCTAAACTTGTCCATCTGCTTCTGTTCTGCGCCTCTGCTATCCAATTGGTCACGATTCTTTTGAGGTCGTCGGTCCATCGTGTTGGGGGTCTTCATCGGCTTCGCTTGTCAGCCCGTGGTCTCCACTCAAGCAATTTTTTTGTCCAACTGTCGTCTTTCATTCTTGCAACATCCTGCCCATCTCCATTTTTGCCTTGTAATATGTTCGATAATGTCTTCCACTGCGGTTCGTCTACGAACTTCCTCGTTTCTTATTCTATTTCTTAAGCTTATTCCAAGCATTGATCTCTCCATCTTTCGTTGTGTCCTCAATTTTTCGGCTGATGTATTTGTGAGATTTAAGGTTTCTGCTCCGTATGTGAGGACAGGTAGAACGCACTGGTTAAAAGCTTTTCTTTTTAAATGGATCGGTATATGTGTTTTAAATACGTATCTCATTTTTCCGAATGCAGCCCAACCCAGACTTATTCTTCTGAGTAGCTCGCATGTTTGGTTATCTCGCGTTAACCTTATTTCGTGACCCAAATACACATATTTTTCCACAAGTTCTATGGGCGACTTTTTGATTTCTATTAGCTCATTGGAGACGAGATTGGTCATCATTTTTGTTTTTCCATAGTTTATTTTTAAACCGACTTTCTGGGCTACTTGCTGTAGTTGTTATAGCATAACTCTGGCTTCTCCTAAGTTGTCTGTTATGAGAACAATATCATCGGCATATCTGAGATGATTGAATATCTTTCCATCGATGCTAATAGCCTTTGATTCCCACTCTAGCCGTTTAAATGCGTACTCCATAACTGTTATAAATAGTTTTGGCGACAAGGTATCTCCCTGCCGCCCCCTCTGCCAATTTTTATGTTCTCAGTCATGCAATGGAGGTTAACGGTTGCTGTCGCATTTTCGTATATATTTCGAATAATATTTGCATACCTGTGATCTATTCTGCATTCTGATAGTGCTTTTAAGATAGCAACTGTTTAGACTGTATCAAATGCTTTGTGGAAGTCGACAAAGATAAGAGAAAGGGGTCTGTTATATTCGATAGACTTTTCAACTAGAGTTTTAAGGCATTGCAAATGGTCGTTTGTTCCGTGTCCCGCTCGAAATCCTGCCTGTTCTTCTGATTGATAGAAATCGAGTTTTGCTTCTAATCTGTTAGTCCAGTATTCGAGTAAAGAGCTTGTATAGATGGTTAAGCAGACTAATTGGCCTATAGTTTTCGAGATCTGATTCATCCCCTTTTTTGTGGAGGAGGATTGTAACCGAATTCTTCCATTTACTTGGATAGTTTTCACTATGCAGACATAGATTAAAAAGTGTTTGGATTCGGGACATCAAAAGTGGACCTCCTAGTTTAATTGTCTCAATGACTACACCATCTTCCCCCGGAGCTCTATTATTTTTCAACTTTTTGAGGGCATGTTGAATTTCCTCTCGTGATATATCTGGTATATCCTCCGATTATACATTATGTACCTTTTGTATTGGTTGTTCGATGAGGTCTGGAATAACTTGACTTTCATATAATGTTTCATAGAAACTTTCCACTATATGTAATATGCTTGGTCTATCTGGGATAATATTTCCATTTTTGTCTTTAAGTTAGAAGATTTCTTTTTTGCCATTTTACATTTTTCTCCTCAATGCTTTCATGCTTTTGTTGTCTTCTATAGTTTTTATAATTTTCTCGTTGTTATAGTCTCTAATATCTCGTCTGATAGCTTTAGAGATTTCTTTATTGATGCTGTTTATATCTTGTGAGTCAATATTTCCTTGACTTCTCAGCATTCTACGATCTTCCATTTTTTGTTTCGTTTCTTTACCAATCTTTTCCATGTTTAGGGCCAAATTTTTCCTGAGCTTGTGTTATTGTATCTACTATTTCTTCGCTTAGGTTATTTACGTTTTCTCTTGTTGTATTTCTGAGTAAGTTACTGGTGATATATTTTTCAAAGTCAAGTTCATTCGTTGGGCGCATCCAAGGTTTGAATTTTTTATTTTTATCATCTTCAGTCTTTCTTGCTTAATATTGATTTCTACAGTTGCTCGGACCATTCTATGATCGCTTGCAACCGAAAATTGATTTAAGACTGTAATATCTTTGATTATATGTTTTTTGTCAGTGATGATGAAGAATCTCTACACTATGAGACAAATAGTGGACATATCACACAATATACATTCTTAAATATAGCATAAATAACCTAAATTAAGCATGTATGTTTGGGCATTAGTATAAAAACTTACTTTCAATAAATATAAAATAAATCTACGGGTCAAATCATTAATTTGTTTCAAATATGAACAGCAAACATCATTCTTTAAAAAAACTGTTTCTGTGAAAGGAAAACCATTACTTTTCTCTTTACACAGTATCAATAAAAAAAAGTAAAACTATGTTTGGAGATAATTTTGACAAACAATAGCAATCCATGTCTCTTTCAAATTATACTGTTACCTGCCGAATTGATGATATAGCCGAAGACGTACAGTATCAGCTACTTGAAAATTTGTGTGAACAATTTTTTTCGATTTAGCTTGACGAGACAACAGATAGCCTAATTTAATTGCCTATGTCCGATGTTCTGATGGTATATCGGTAGTAGGAGAACTACTTTTCTGTAAACCTATAGAACTAAAGGCAACAGCACTTGAATATGCACCGATGGTGCTCGTACAATGTCTGTAAGATTACAAAGTGTACAAGCACTTACGAAACAAAGGTCTCCGCAAAATGTCTGGAACCATTGCATGCCCCACAGAGAAGCTTTAGTTTCCAAAGAAATAGGTCCTGGTCCCAATATATCCGCAGCAGGTCACCATGGTGAAGAACCTCTAGTCGATAGAATAATGTAGGTAAGGGAACTCGGCTCTGAGGATCGGAGCGAGGCGAGGAAGCGGGTCACGGCTGACGTACCGGACCTGGGCGGGGTGAAGTGAGCCTAATTCTTACGAGTTGGGTTTCATGGATTCGAGTTCGGTCCCCTGCCTTGGCCTCCCGCGGAATCGTCTTGTTGCGAGGCTCTGAGTTACTTTCAAGTGCTTGGATGTCCTCTTCGGCCATTCAACGGTCAGTTCAGAACTGACTTCCAAAGAAATGGGTCCTGGTCCCAACGTTGTTGTAATGACGGTTGTAACTGTAGTAAATTATATAAAAAATGAATCCCCCAAAAACCAGAACCCCTTTTTAATACACTTTGTAAAGATATGGGTGCAGAAAATTTGATGTTGCTATTTTATTGGGAGACCAGATGGTTATCGCGTGGAAAATTTTTATAACGTTTATTAGTTAAAAGAGAAAATTGTCACTTTTATAGAATAGCAAAACCGTCCGGAAGACGGAAAGTTTCGAGAAGCTTTGTTTGTGATTAAATTAAATTACTCTGTCGACATATTCCAGAAATTAAATACTTTGAATCTACAACTCCAAGGAACAAACACACATATGCAGAAAGTTAGAGCTGTGGAGCAGACATTTAAAACCAAAAAAAAACGGAAATGTTTGCAATGTGAATAAGTGAGTCAAAACATACAAGAATGACGAACAGTGTGTGAAAGTTCTTTTTGTGACAATTGGGACCGTGCAAGTTCGGAACAGCGACACCTGGTGTCGTAAATCAGCAAAATTTACTGCGCTTTCATGTTAGATCGAGGTTACCGGATAACTGTCAAGGACGTAGCCCCAAAAAAGAATAAGAAGAAAAAGTAAGATTGAGGTTATGTCGGTATGTTATTAAAAGGTAAACGTTGTATGTAGTGTAAATACAAATAAATAGATTATTAAATTACAGCATTACTGTTAATATGGATGCAATAATCAAAACTGGATTTGAGAAAGTAAATCACCAAATAACTTTTCAACCAAGCACTGAGTCAAAGGGAAAAGCTTTAGTAGTGGCAAATGTCAAAAAATAATGGAAGAATTATGTGGAAGAATTAAGAAAAATAAATTACCATAAATAATGTTAAGGCATAAATTAGCAGGATAAGCCCATGATATCATCATATTGGTTTGAACAATTAATTTTTTTCCTGTAAACTTTTGGACAGCGAATATATCTTAATGCATCTTCAGAAAAACTTGAACTTGATGCATTTTTGTAAACTTAAAAAAAAATAAAATTTAAACATTAAACTTGATTTTTGGGTTAAAATGAACTCTAAGTGAGTGTTATGAAACTAAAATTTACACTTAAAAGTGGACTTTTATTTATTATATATTTCAAACTGACTTTAAAATCGGGCGCAAGAATAATGCATAATTTAGGTTATGTTACTTATGCTTTTTTATGATATAAATCCACTTTTCTCTTTGTAGTAGCTTTGTGCTTCGAAGTTGGAAACGAATAAAACTTAAATTGACAATTTTTTGTTGTGTTTTTATAATTTATAACACAGCATTTCCTAAATCCCATTTTCTTCAGTGACAGAAAGTTTAAATAAACAAACGAATATGAAATATGACAATTGACAATATGAATTTATGAAATCTATGAAATGCGCAGTAAAAAATGCAAGATTTCTCCGCTACTCGCGCACGATCGTTTCTCGTATCCCCTCCAAGTACTTGCACGTCGCCAATAGAAAGTCATTTAACCATATAAGGACATTTAGTGGGTAAGTGATCCATTTCGAAACACTCACGAAGGTCTCTCAACTGCAGGAGAAGAACTTTACTTCAAGCGACGAAATCAAGAGAGAATTTTGTAATAAACCTCTCTTTGAATTTTGGGCAGGAGTGGATGTCGCCTGTTCTCCACTGAAAATAAGAGCGATTTGTATATTATTGCCGTTTTCAACATCTTACCTTTGCGAAGCCAGATTTTCTGCGGTTGCTGCTTTAAATGCTAAATATAGATGTCGACTTAATATAGATAAAAAACGGAGAGTTCCTATTTGTAATATAAATCCTTGTTTCGAAAAACTGCGGTGCGAGCCAGGCCCAAGGGAATCACTAATAATTATTATTGTTCTTAGTTTCATTCGGCATTTGACAGTATAAACGTGTATTATACTTACTTAATTGTTTGTACTGTCAGAATGAATATCAGTTTGCTTTTCTTTGTGTGAAATATTTTATTTATTAGTAATTACCTATATTTTTTATTTTGGTGTGCTGGCGCCCTTACGTCGAGTTATGGCGCCGTGTCCCACATGTTGAGAAACGCTCCTTTAACTGCTTTTTTATATGTATGATAAATTGTTTGCAAGTGTGAGTCCGGTTTCAAAGGGTAAAAAGACTAGCATTAATGAGTAAACCTTTATTTTTCTTTTTACCTTTTGCTTAGCCTGAGTACGTAATTTTAATGACTGGTTTGCTATACTCTATGACATTAATCTTGTTTATTTTTAGAACGGATATTTACAACATGTACACTCCCAATAAAATTTTTTTGAACAGACCAAATAACTCTGCCGGATAAGATGTATTGGACAAGAAGAATATTGTAAATATTGTTTTAGATATACAGCTATAGTACTATTTTTTTATTATTTATTTATTTTGTGATATCAGGTTTACATTTTTTTTAAACAACTGATGCCTATTGTTAGATATAATAGAAATAAATAATTATTTAGCTATTTATTTTTTGCGTTTTTTTTATTTAACCCAAGTTTATATTTAGAGGATATACAGTGTAGGAAAAATTTTATGGTCGGTATGGACCTTACGTGAGATGGAGTGAGAAACAGCTGTTTAGAAAGAGAGAGGTATATTAGGTCCGCCCTTTATATCGCCAAACATGCATGCCTGGAAAGGGGAAGTTCAACGTTGCCAAACTTATTGGATTTATTTGACCTGTTGTTTTTTTTTGCATTTGAACAATGTTCTAAGATAATCCAATTTGGGCGAAATTGATTTAAATGGCAGCTTACTGTGTTTTTTATTGGGAATATGCCACAAGTTTACTTTACAATAAGTGTAATATAACATTTTGATTTCCACTTTGGAAATCGTTTTAGATAAATAAAATTTATTAATGTTTCGTATTTTAAGTACGATTTCCGAATTAAAAATCTAAACATCAAAATAAGCTTATTTTAAAGTCACATTGTGCCTTATTCCCAATATGAAATAATAAACTGCATACAATAACACCACATTAAAAAATATTCATACACAATAATTTATTTGGCAACGTCGTCCGTCTGGTCAGAACACCGAGTAACGGGTAGTAGAGGTGGGTCGTGGTAATTTTATCGTTAAGAGCGTAGGCATAAAATATTTTTTAAATGCATTCATTTTTTTCGAATCCTGATAAAACTAATAAATATTCTTGAAAAATTTAAACGCAGAATGAACCAATACATTATTACCGAGGGCCAAAAGTCCCTGAAAACTTCTATAATGTTTATTTTAATAAGTTATAAGGGCGAAAAAAAAATTAGTGTGATTTTTAATTTCAAATATCTCATTCAAAAAACTTTTTGTTTATTCTAAGGGACTTTCGGCCCTCGGTAATAATGTAATCTTTTATTCTGCATTTAAATTTTTCAAAAATATTTGTTAGTTTTCTCAGGATTCCAAAAAAAATGAATGAATTTAAAAATTTAAATTTTTGTAAACAAGTAACTATGATTGTTTAAAAGTAGTTTCAAGTAAGAGAGTACCTACATAAACAAACATAATGGCTATTATCGTTTATGTGTATATTTATTGAAGTGAAAGATACTAATGATATATTTATTATAACTTGAAAAATAAACTAAACAATACAAATAGTAAATCGTACTTACATTTACATTACACGTTATTATTAAATCGCGAATAGTCTAAATTGACATTAAAAAACATAAGTTTTTCTACTATACCTACTTTTTATTAACCGTCTTCTTTTTTTATTTCAAATTAAACCAGATTTTGAACATGTGTTCACATTTACAATACTGTATGAATATAGGGGTTATATTAGGATATACATGGCGATGGTTTTTCCACCGTTGTAATGGACTCTTGATACGGGTGTACGTGTAGATGAGCCATCTCCAATTAATTGATCAAATATACACCATGGATTTAAGTCATCTTTATTAGTTTCTTTTTCTTGTACTGGTTGATTTTCAATAGTACAATCTTCTTGTTCGTTAATTATAGAAGTAACCAGCTTCTTAACTTTTTCTTTTATTTTTTTTATCTTCATTTTTATCAGAAAAACCCTGCACTTTAAATGGTGAATCCATAAATGTACATAATGACAATATGCCACTCTGTTCTATCCCTTTAAATATTTTTGCTAAACCCGATATTAGTAATTGTACTACGTCGGATACTATGGATGTAAGGTTACCGTTTGCTAAAATTTTCTTGCAAGATTCTTGCAGGCCGCGTACCATAACAATCACTGAACTACCCTTCAAGTATTTTTGGTCACTCATTGTACTTGTTATTTCTTTAAACGGCCGTAAAATTTGGGAAAGCTGAGAACAAATAATCCAGTGTTTTTTATTTAGATTTGGTCTGTCTGTATTATTTAATACCGATGTGGAACGGAAATACACGCCAGTACACCGAAAATATCAAAATACAGAGAGGAGTCCGCCATTGTTGCGTGCTGTCCCCACTACTTTTCAATGTCTACAGTGATCGGTATTTTAAGAAGCGCTCTCAGACTCAATAGAAGGTATATCTATCAATGGAGAAGTTTTGAATAACTTACGTTTTGCAGACGATACAGTAATAATTACGGATAACAACAATGATTTACAGAACCTAATGCAACGCCTTAATGAACGTTGTCATGAGTACGGACTGAAGATAAATTAAAGAAAACTAAATGCATGATCATGACTAAATCTGCACAAATATTCAATTGACTATTGAAGATACTGCAATTAAGAGTGTTAATAACTATAAATACTTAGGAACATGGATAACATCAGATGTAGACCAAACCAAAGAAATTAAGACACGTATTGAAATAGCACGTGAACAGTGTAGCAAGGCCGACTCTGTGCGCGGCATCCACGCGCCGACTCGTGAGCAAGTGTCAACGACGACGACAGAGAGATCCACGATGGCGACGTAAACAGACAGTTTAGATTTTAGAGTTCCTTTTGATTTGTTAATTAGGATACAGTATTATTTGTAAGTTAGAAAAATATACAGTCCACAAAAATCGAACGGATTTAATTTATATCAAAACTACGGCAATCCAATACAAAACATGGTCTTCGAGACGAATTAATGGATTATTAGACATAAAACAATGGGCGCCATTTTCCGGCAAAACACATTTTATAAGTTATAAAGGGAATATATTATCACACATTGGGAATCGAAGAAGTCGATATTCACACATACACAATTATAGAAGTACAATAATTTATGGTAAAGAGGCAAAGGTAACCAGAAACCAATATACATACATACATAAAAACACCACGTGAGTACACAGTATCCTTTTTAAACAAATCATTTCCATACCTATTATTTAAACAAATTTACATGATCAGTCTGTGTCAATTTTTTGTTCCTTTATTATTAAGTTGTTAAAACATCTCTGGGTCATATATTACTTATAATAGATAGTATAAAAAGGTAATAAATTCAATAAAAATTATGGCAGAACTCACAAATTTAAAAAAAAGGAGGAGCACAATTAAGGCTCAAATGACACGATTTCAAACATTTTTAAATAATTATTCAGATGCTAATGCATCACAGCTACCAGGTAGAATTGAAAAATGTAGAGAGTGGTGGAGAGATTTTGATACTGTACAAGAAAACATTGAAAAATTTGTATCTAGCGAGGGCATTGATAGTGACTTAGATTTTGATTCACAGCTAAATGAAAGATTAGATTTTCAAGATTTATATTTTGAATTAATTGGCATAGCAGAAGGGTTTTTGAATAAAATTGACTCTGTTTCAAATCAATCAGATACACAATCTGACACAGGGAAAGCTTCATCAAAAAATGTAAAACTACCTCCTTTAGAGGTACCAACATTTAACGGTTCGTTTCATGGCTGGTTAGAGTTTAGGGATGGGTTTACAAGTTTAATAATCAATAATTCAGAATTAACTGATGTAGACAAACTACACTATTTGAAAAAATCATTAGTTGATAGGGCAGTTGGGGCATTGGATGAGTTACCAACTACAAACACAAATTTTAATTTTGCATGGCATTTATTAGGTGAAACATATGAACGCAAAAAGTTAATAGCACGCAGTCACATTGATAAGTTAAATGAATATCCACATATAAATAATGAAACCTCATACGAATTAAAAAAATTCTCTACTTCAATTAAAAAAGATTTAAAGGCATTAAAGACATTGGGTTATTCAGTAGAACAATGGGATGTTATTTTAATTTGTATATTAGAGAAAAAATTGGATAAAAACACAAAAAGGGAATGGCAAAAAATAGGGCCACTTAATGAGTTTCTCAAAATCACAGATTTTTTATCATTCTTAGATCAAAAGGTACACAGCCTAGAAAACTCAGAAGAAGATAAAGACAAACCCAAGTCATCCTCTGAAACAAAACGTAAGTATGAAAGGGCTCCTTTTTCAAAAACATTTTTAACATCACACAAACAGTGTCATCTTTGTGGGCAGTCGCATTATCTTTATGGGTGCAAATCATTTCACAAATTATCTATCTCAGTAAGACGATCAGAAGTTGATAAAGTCAAGGGTTGTTGGAATTGTTTACGGGAAGGTCATACAGCTCAAAATTGTACAATGAGGGGTTGCAAAATTTGTGGTAGGAAACATAGTACACTCCTACATTTAGATTTACATTCATCAGGGCACAATGAACACAACTGGGAACGAAATACACAAGGCAAAGATAGAATACATTCACAGGGTCAAAATGCATCACATTCATCAGGGCACAATGAACACAATTGGGAACGAAATACACAAGGCAAGGATAGAACACATCCACAGGGTCAAAATTCACATTACATTCAAGGTTCACAACCACCAATACCATGGATACATAATCAAACTCAGGGTATACATTCACAGGGACAATTTACACATTCTCAAACACTAGAACCAAATAAGCAAGGGCAAGTTACACATATTCAGGCACATGAGGTACACTTACAGGGACAAAACACAAATTTTAAGGGGCAACATGACACAGGTGATGGGGTACCTCACTCAGTGTATTTGGGACAGATTAAGACTAAGGACTATAGAACTATAGAAGATAGGGTACAAGTTAGCAAATGCAATCATACCAACTCAATTCATACAAAAACAGAGATTCTGCTTTCAACAGCATTAGTTTACATGCAAGACAACTTTGGGAACTTTCATGAATGCAGAGCCTTGTTAGATTCTGGGTCTCAATCAAACTTTATTTGTAAATCATTGTTAGAAAAACTCAATATCCCAACGGAAAAGGTAGACATTCCAGTGGCAGGTATCAATCAGGGTATTACAAAAATTACACGGGCCATGAAAGGTATAATACAATCGAAAACATGTAGTTATAAAGTAAGTGCATTTATGTTAGTTATAGATAAGATATCTGATAATTTACCAGCTTTTAATCTTAATTTAGAAATGATTGACATACCAAAAAACATTATGTTAGCTGATAGTTCTTTTGGAGTTTCAA